AGGTAGGATGTTAAATAAGCAGGTTGAGTTAAATTTGAATGTATTAACGGATTATTTGATCGGTGAAAAGTTTTTTAAGCTGAAATGAGCTTAAAATAAATTAATGATCTAAACAATAGATCATAGTTCAATCCGTCCAACTTTTACACATATTTAATTTTGTTGATTGTTATTTTATAATTTATTTAATTATTTAATAATTTTTTATTATGATTTTATATAATGTATTAAATAGGAAATGTCAAAGATTAATTTTTTCCATCAATACCTTCTCAGTCGACGCGAGGTCGTCACACTGAGCTTGTTTATTGTGGTTTATATAAGTTCGTCGCAACCGACCTTATGCGCTTTATATCTCCTATGATTTGTAGTTCATTGCACATGAGCAGATTTATTTGGTGCGTGTGGACTTAAAAGGGCAGCGACTGCGAGTTTGCTTTCTGATAGAAAAAAAGTCTTGTTTTTAATACTTTAATTAAGATTGTCATTTGTCAATGTGGGCTATTTAACAAACTTTTAGATGAGTTGAGTAAAAATAGATTGAGTTGATAAAGGGGAGGATCGTTATCCTGTCCAAATATAATTGAGTTAGACACAAGTTATATTTTTATGAACTAATTTTATGGACATACACACAGGGTATGAAAATTGGAGACTTTGGTCAGCTTTCTAGTAAGCAAATTACCATGATTGATAAGTTACAAAGACAGATTATTTTAGAAGAGAGAAAATTTTCTTCAAGGTTAGCTAGCTTGCAAGAAGATGTTGTTGATCAACCGTTTGCCATGGCGGCCAGAATTTACGACGCTGAAAGAGGTACGTAACGATGTTTGATTGAGCATGAACTTTAATTTTAATTTTTTTAATTTCAATTTAGTATTACTTTTCCTTTTTTATCATATTAATCTTTGTCCATATATACATTTATTGGAAGAATGTAGAGTGGTGGAGACAAATAATTAATTCTATTTTTTTTTTTAAAATGACAAGTATTTTGAAAAAATTATATAATCATGATAAGTAAAGTGGCCCAGATCAGGGAGTATGACATTTTTTTTGGAATAAATTAAAAAAGAAAGTATAACAAATAACGACAAATATTATAGTCTTATTATAAGCGTATATCATGAACACATTGTTACCTTTTCGCCCCTCATTTTGTCTTTGTTATTTAACAAGCATATTTTACTTTTTATAAAAGAAAATTATTTTATCCCATATTTTACTTTTTCTTTGTAATACTAAAAGCTTAGTCTTCAAATTGATAATGCATGAGATTATGAAATGATAAAAAATAATATAATTATGAAATGACAAAAAATAATACGATCTATCTAGAAGTTATATTTATTAAAACAGTATAATACAATATAATAGTATATTATGAAACAATATATAATAACTTAATTATGATCCAAACAAGTTAAAACTATTTTAAAAATTAAATTATTTTTTTAAGAAAATATATTTTATTTACTTAATTATGTTTGCAACAGGTGAGAATGAAATCGAGCCCTTAAATAAACATGGTGAGGACATGTCAAATTTACTAGAAGAAGTTGATGAGTTGAGGATGAAGACACTAAAGGAGATATTGGGCATATTGACACCAATTCAAGGTGTGGAATACTTAGCAGCAGCAAAGAGAATAAGGCTATGTTTGCAACAATGGGGAAAGAAGAGGGAACAAGAACATAATAGTAATTAATAAGCTAGAGATAAATATGCTATGGGATTATTAGTGTTGTTATTATATATGATAGTGATCAAAATTTATCCTTTTTTTCGAGTTTCATATTTTAGTTGTCAGCGGCTTTCTTTTTTCTATATGAACTATCACAATCTAAGTATTAAAACACATCTAGTTAAGCAAATGGTGATAGTTCAGATAGGAAAAGAGAACATTTGATGATTGGTTGAAGCAATTTTGAGGTGTGTTTTAATACATCGATAGTGTAATTCAAGTAGCAAAAGAAAAACAACTAATTAATTGTTAGAATGTGAAACTCAAAAAAAAAGAAGATGAAGATAATTTAAATGTGTGTTTGATCATTAACTCTATGAAAACATTATGTTATTATTATGCATGTTTGAATTAGTTGTACATATGCCAAATCTTTGGTTTATTTCTTCTCTTCTCCTTATTACTCCATCCGTTTTATTTTATTTTATGTGTTTTAGTTTGAATTTCATTAGATACGAAATTTTAAAAAAGTAAGAAAGATTTTTGAACTAGCATGAAATTTGAATTGGAAAAATTTAAAGAGAGGTGGATTATTTGTTTTTGTTAGGTAGGGGCAAAACTAGAATTCTAATTACGTACGAATTCAATAAAATTTAATAGTTTAACTCAAAACAGTCTTTGTGTTAGAAATCTGCTTATTCAATACTCTGCTTTCTTTAGAGCTCAAAATTCGTAAATTCTAAATTCACCTCTATCAAAGAGATAATACCAATTTCCACATTTTTTTTACAATGAATATAAATATTGCACAAACGATGACATGCATGCACTAATGAAGAAATGATCCCTTAATTAGTGACACATGTTTTTATAGCTGTCGAGATGTCATGAAATGATTTAAGATTATAAGTTTCAAAAGTTTATGTTTTTCTTCTGAAAGATTGAAACTACGTACGTGCTCAATTAAATACTACTATATTAATCGAAACAGATAAAGTAACTTCTTATATATGGTTTAAAATACCAGTAATAAAACATATGAAAGAGTTATTCAACTTTCTAATCGGAAATAGTGTCATATAAAACGGAATGGATAGGAGAGGATATAAATACATATATATATATATATATATATATATATATATATATATATAGTTTTTCTTTCTTGTTCTTCTTTAGTGTGGAGGAGTGTCTTTATATAGAGGTTGAGGGGAACTTAGCATAAAGCGTGGAAGAATCCTAATGGCCAAACGTGGTCGACGCACTAAGATAGTGGAATAAAAAGTAGTGGCCTAGACTTGGCCGACGCTTTAGGTGATAAGATCAAATAATTCATGCCGGGTACACATTTGGGCCCCATCGCACATGCATTATTTTCACTTATTGACACAAACTTTGACACAAAACTTGACGCGTGCTTATCAGTTTTTTCCTATTTTGGAGGATAGTGATAAAGTAAGCACTCACACGACAAATGTGGGCATACCCACATGGCACACTTTTAGTCCTACTTTATTTAATGTCTTTGCCTTGTTTTGTCTTGTTCCTTTTTGTCTTCAAGTATCAAGGTTGTGCAGAGCAACGGAATCAAAACTCATTCCCGAATCATCATCTTCGTTAGGATCTTGAGCATCTTGATAATATGCATGTTCTCCATGTTCTCCATAATCTTCCTCTCCTGAACTGAGTGATCTGGTTGTATTATTATCAGTAGTCTCCCTTGATCTTAAATTAGATCTGTCTCGTTCTGTATTAATACGTTCTGTGTCCGGTACCAGTCTGTCTCCACTTGGATCTGGATTTGGTGGAGTAATTATATGTTTATCCTGTCCCTGTTGGAAAAGCTTTTTTAAGGCCTTAGAAACATCCTAGGAATTTACAGGTTAATCCATCGTTGTTATTAAGAAGTTAAAAGTCTAACCATATACTAAGGATAGTTTTATACTACAAACATATTTACATACTTAACATTAATTAAAGCAAACATGATTTAAAACAGACATAATTTACATATATTTTTAGGGAAAATACAGGAACCATAAAAGACTTACATGACTTAGACGGAGAGAGGTTTCCCTTTCGGGAACCCTGACTGTCTGTAGATGTCCTAAGTGTTAAGTATGTAAATATGTTTGTAGTATAAAACTACCCTTAGTATATGGTTAGACTTTTAACTTCTTAATAACAACGATGGATTAACCTGTAAATTCCTAGGATGTTTCTAAGGCCTTAAAAAAGTTCGCAAAAATCACAGGACGTCTTATTGGCCATCTCCGGGGTGGGTTTAATGAAGAAGTTTTTAAGAATACAGGTTAAAATGCTGTCCATTCTATGCTTTCTTCAGTTACTGTATCTGGGTTTACCCTAAAGACTTGTCTTCTTGGTACATTTCCTATACTTGTGTCTATTGTATGTTGTTGGGCAGTCCGTTGGAATGGACTAGCACTTGAACTAGTAGATTCCATGAGCTCTTTTTGACTTATTATAGAATTTCTTTCTAATTCATCTTCACTTTCATACAGATTTTCTAGTATCGTTTCAAGGTTTTCTATTTTTTCTTGGTTATTATATTCTTTTCTATATCCTATATTATCAGTTCTAAATTCGCATGTTTTAAAATGTCTGTCTACCTCAAATATACCCATATTTCCTATCTTACATCCTTTACATTTAAAAGTTATATCATTATTATTATTATATCTTCTTTCAGCTACTTGCAAAGCTTCATCTACTTCATATCCTTCTTGTATTATTTCTACATTCATAAATTCTTTTTCTTCTTCTAATTCTAACTCTTCTTCTAAGTTCGTTTGATTAGAATAATTATAATTTGTGAATCTGATAGATGTTTCTCCTTTTGTATTAGTATACATTAGATGAGATTCTGGTGTGAGTACTTTCTTTTTATTAAATTGTTCTAAGTTCCATTATAATCCTGCATATTCTTCTGGATTTATTTTTATCGGTTTTATTAATTTTATTCCTTTGTTATATAGATATAGACTTTTTCTATTTTTATTTATTAGTTATATATATAGTAACTACCCAAAATCTTGATATCATAAGTTAACCATCTTTCTTTAGTTTCCAAATATAACCAATTTATAAACTTACCAATTCTTTAAATTCCATATATTTTTCTCCATTCCATTGGATTTAATTTCTCCCAACACAAACACACCTCCTCTAACCCTGGCTAATTTCCCCCTATGATTAGCCAGGGGAAATCACTAGGCGAATACACGATGATTCACCCATAGTTTCAATTTCTTCGCGCACTTGGATGCATCATCTATCCTCTTGCAGGATGATGAGCATGAAGAGCGCGAAAACAGAGAAAAAAGGGACAATTTTGATGCATAAATATGAGATTGGTAAATTGTTAGGCCAAGGTACATTTGCCAAAGTTTATCATGCAAGGAACCTAAAAACAGGACAATATGTAGCTGTTAAGGTAATTGACAAAGAAAAAGTCCTGAAAGTTGGCCTAATTGACCAAATCAAACGTGAAATTAGAGGTGGTGAATTATTCAATAAGGTTGCTAAAGGGAGGCTTAGGGAATCAGCAGCGGGAAAGTACTTTCAACAATTAATCGCGTCAACATATGTCGCGCCAGAGGTCATAAATAAGAGAGGGTATGATGGCGAAAAGGCGGATATTTGGTCATGTGGGGTGATTTTGTTTGTATTGTTAGCTGGTTATCTTCCATTCCATGACACAAAAAGACGGGACGGTGAAAATGCAAGGAAGCAAAGAAGGGAGAAAAGGGCAATTAGCAATTGATGCAGAGATATTTGAGATTACTCCAGCTTTCCATGTTGCACAAGTGACAAAAAAATCAGGAGACACTGCAGAATACAGGAACTTTTGTGATCAAGGATTAAAGCCTTCATTAAAAGATATAGTTTGGACATGGCAGGGCAATGAGCAACAACAAGCGGAAAATCAAGAAATCAAGACTTAAGAGGTAAAGATATGAAAACAAAAACAAGTTGTGGGGGTAAAGTTTCCTCTGTGAGACCTACAGGTCACAATTTTGAGTTGTGGATTCAGTCATTGATGTTTACGTCGGGTAGTTTTCCTGCATTACAATTTACAACCCATGGATGAGAGCCTTCTCCATATCTCATGCATCGAGTTGTTTCTGTTTTTTTTAAATCATAGAGGCATTATGATCATAGCATTTTTTGTCATTGCACTTTTCGTTTGTTGTCTTGATGTTATATGTCCTCTTAGTGTTTCCCATGTAAAACATTTACTATATTACTTGTATATTTGTATTCATATAGTTTATTCCTCTTAACAATTTACAAAAAGATCATTCTGCTTCAAGATTTTCAAGAGGATCAATTTGGTTTTAGTTATTCAATTTACTTGTTCTACCATTTTGCAGCACTTATATTAAGAGGAAACAGTGACATATATTGCAACCAACTAGCATTTCTGAAAACAGAATCATGCACAAATCAAGTGCTAAAACAAAACAAAAAAAAGCAATATCTTTCCATAAAACAAACAAGCAATCAATTTGGAAAAAGAGATTCAGAGAACATGCTCAGCGTGCAAGAAGTTGAATCTTGATCTTTTGTAGCATCCCTGCAACATCTTTCATGTTTGTCCTTCTTGCCGGAGATTCAGCACAGCAATCTAATGCAACTTTCATGATTGATGCAACAACATCAAGCTTCTTCTGTAAGTGATTATCCAATGGTGTTACCAAGTTGGCATCTACAACATCCATTACTGCCTCTGGGAGTGAATAACTCACCCATTGCTTCAAG